CTGTTTTCCATGGATGGGGGGAGGGGAATGGTTTGTATGTTCCTGCTAGCCGTTCGGGGGTGGCTTGCAAACAAACCGCGTTCTGTTATTTGATTCTGCCCGGCCGGCGCCATTTCGGGACCTGGGACCAACTTTTCGAAACCGAAACGGGTGTACACCGACCGCGAATAACGACAAATCCACGCCTATTCCGCGTTCATTCCTCGATCGCGGGGAGACGGATTGGCAGATTCTCAGAGCTAATTTTATTTATAATCGGTTATTTTCAATTGGTATTCGATTTCGATTCCGAGACGATATACAATAAGTTGGGACGATATTTTTGTTGCGCGTATATGTAAATAATTCGCGTGAAATGATGATGTATTGATGTAGTTTTATTGCGTGTCGGGAATGAGTACGAGTAGAAGAGACGGTAGGTTGTGTAATAAAGCGGAATATATTTGGAGAGCATTGAAATGATAATTAGAAGAAGAGATAATTGAATCGTTTTTCGTGGATACTTGAAAAAAATTGTTGTGAATATGTGATTTTGTCCAATTAAAAATTAATTCTCCCAAAAATATTCTGCTTCGAAATGAGATAAATACGAGTTAAATAACAAGAGATCCGAAACCTATTACGATCTTGATGATTTTTTTAATGTTAAATCTATTTCGATCGTTGACGATTTTAATAAGACAATTAGATTGAATATAACTCTATTTTCATTAATTGGAAAATTTTATGTAAATTTTGAATCATCATGATATTAAATGGACAAAATTCATAACGTTCGTTTAATCGCGACTCTCAATCGTTATATAGATATAATAGTTTGAATTTATTAGTTCTAAAATGGATTTCATAACCTGATACGATAAACTTGAATTAATAGTGACAAGCGTATGCTTACTGATGGCGTAGAATTTAATATACGCAACCGGATGGTTCTAATCGTAAAACCAAGCATTAAAGCACGCGACAAAATTGTGCCTTTCATGACTGTCGGTGTATAAATTTTATATTTTTTGCGCACGCTCGTAAAAGCTTCGTAAAGTTCTATTCTGTATCGGTTGTATGCTGTCCTTTTTATGTTGCTCGTAAATTCGCTAAGATTTCACGCTTGCATACGCATCCACACGTGTGTACAACTGCGAGTTGAAATCACGAAAGTTTTGAATATTTCGTTTAATTCGATATATTTAATAAAAAAAATTGATCAATATTTTTGTTTTCTAATCTGGAAAATTAAAACAAACTCTTTCCACGAACTTTTAAACCGATTTCTTCACGCTCGTTAACTTGACGTTGCAAAATTTGAAAACGTTCTTTATAATTAATTAAAAAAACATTCGTCGATTTAGCTCATCTTTTGCCAAAAGGATCTAATTACATTTATTATTTTTACACGACAAAAATTACGATTCTACGAATTTTAATATACGTTTAATATAAATTTTAATATTCTTTATCAATCATTTATTCTTTATGAAGAATGTGCTAAGAGTGCTAAGAAGAAGTCGTGCTAAGAGTAAAAATATCAAAAAAATATCTAATATTATGCCTAAAAAATATCGCGATTAAAATTAAAAAAAGAAAAGCAATACTATGAATAATATATACTATAATCTTGATGACACGAGCAAATAGTTTTTGGTGGAGTCTAACTACATTCCCATTTATCCTCGAGCAATATACGAATTGTGTCTAGAGATAATAAGGTATTATTAATGTCGTCACGCCACAGCTCTCTAATAACTTGCTAACTTTGCAAACTATTCTATTTCTTGTCATATATATACCTATGCCATTTGTCCGATTTCGAAATGATAATTATTTTTGCATGGTATATCTTGTACGAACTACATCGAATATTTTAAAAATTATTTTTTAATTTAACGCGGAAACAATAACTAGCTATTTTCGATTATAAAAATATTCTATAAACTTTTAGAGAATGAAAATTTTCGCGAGATTTTATTAGTATCCTTCACGAAAAAAAAAAAAAAAAAAGAAATTAAAAGTCACTCGTTTTATCCCATATATTACAAGATTTTACAAGATACACGAAAAAAATCAGTTCGTGGATTACGTAAATGTCAAGTGATACTTTTCCCTTTGACGCGGTCATAAGCAGCGTAAGATACGTTTATGAGAAGGAACGCTTTAAGTAACTCGATAACTGGTTGCACCTGACAGATGAAGAGACTTAGTCTCTCATCCTACGAACAACCCCTGAAAGGCAAACTTAAGTTCCAAGAATGAGAAACTTTCGAGAGACGTCGCTTTGACTCGTTCCTCACTTTCTTCCGTTACCCCTTTCTCGCTATCCATGCACAAGTGTCGTTTCGAAACTTTTGCTTTTAATTGCCAATTTATATTCGCGAGAGATATATTTCGAGTTATATATATATATATTTCGAGTTATATATAACAGCTATTAGCTAACGATAAAAAGTTTCGCGTGATAAAAATGTATAGGTTATAGGTGAACGTTATAGGTTAGGTTTTCGGCGGATTATAAAAATATTTTTTTTAGAAAATATTTTTTAGAAATGATGTAGAATAAACGATCTAATTATCAAAATAAACGAATAAAAAATAAATTTAGATTCGAAAGATTGTCAATTATATAATAAACATATATATATATATATGTGTATAGCTATGAAAAGATATGTAAATGAATAAAAAACAAGTAATTTAGACTCGAAAGATTGTCAATTATATAATATAAGCGTACGTATTAATCGAATAATAAATAGAATATACGAATAATAATTATTATATACCTATAAAAAGAAATATGTACTTACATTTTACGCAGCAGCAAACAAACGCACCTCAAAGAAAAATGGCCTTCTAAATACTATCGATAATTACGCTTACGTCATAATTTCGATTATCGAATAACGAATGAGCAAAGAGAAATGCGCAGTAGTTCGGAAAAATAGAAATACATCGAAACGTATATAATATGACGCAATTTCCAATTTTTTAGAAAGATATTACGAAAAAATGAAAAAATATGTACTTTTACCTATGTATATAGCAAATAAATCACGTATCTCAAGGAAAAATACTAAAATTTCTAACACGAATATCGATAATTGCCACGTCATAATTTCGATTATCAAATAACGAAGGAAAAAGAAATGCGCAGTTCAGCAACAAGTCGAAACATGTCGAAACATGTCGAGCATAACACGAACGCGTACTTCCAATTTTTTTGGAAAGGTTACAACGAAAAAATGTCACGTACTTCGAGCAAAATATTGAACAAGAAAGAGAAATATATATAAACATTACTAATAGACGCAGTATCGAAACATGTAGGTCGAAATACGTATTAGCTCGAAATACGTATTAGCTCGAAATACGTATTAGATCGAAATACATATTATTAACGTAATTTAATTTAATAAAATCAAATTTACATCGTACGTTCGTTTCAATATGGATAAAAAAATTATACAAATCTATTCTAAGCAAATTTTTGTGGAACTTACCAATCTTGAAGAAAAGCTACGTCATCAGCTACGAATCGTCGTGGCATATGCATGCTATAAATCATTTTTCTTTCGATGTTATTCCGACAATCTGCACAAATGAAAATCAAAATCGTAAAATAAATGTATAAAAAGAACCATATTAAGATGAAGCAACAAGTGAATTCGAACCTAGATTCAATAAAGCTACTACGCAGTATCGATAACCTCACAATCAAATACACAAATGACAAGAAAAAAACACAAAAAAACTCAAAACACTAATTAATTCCACTACTACAATAATATAAATAGATTATTAAATAAACAAAACTGATTAATTTATAAAATTTGGTAACAAAATATGAATAAAATTATTCGAATCACCGAAGCCGGAGCGATACACGTCCTCTCACGATGATTATCCACAGGAGAATGACGTCGCGCGCCACAGTTTACTTAGAAGCTTTCTGATTGGTCGACATTATAAACCAATTCTTGAGTAAAAATCGCGCGAAAAATTAAAATGTTATATAATATATTTTAAATATTTTAATTAAAAATATATTAAGAATAGATTATTAAAATTTATAAAATAATAATAAATAAAATAATAATTTTATTCTTACATTAAATACTTAATATCTATTAGCAATAATAAATAAATAATTCCAAATTTTTAATAATATTTTATTTAAAAATTACTAAATATTTTCTTTATAATTTTATAAAAATTATAATTTTTCGAAAAATAGTTTCTTGCATTATTCATTGCTCAGAATACAATAAAACTGAAAAAATAAAAAAGCATAATAAATTATCATAACAATCGATCATATTATATTTCGTAATATCAATATTCAACAAACAGATCTATAATTAACTATTAACCAAAAATTTAAAAGCGATTAATTCGCGAAAAATATAGAATAAATTTCGGCAAAATAGTATTTCACGAGCGAAAATTTTTTTTTTTAATTACAAATTTCGAAGCATATACTTTTCTAATTAGAAAAATTGCAAAATTCAACATATGACTTTATTTCAAGTAAATCTAATTAAACAATTCATACATTATACGTGAATGTTCGTCGTGTGCTTTGAATCCCTCTTAGATCTGGCTAGTATTATTACCGCCCTTTCTTCTATAGGAGCATAAGTCGTCCAGTAAATTCCTTTTTACGACACCATCCTCGATTTTCTTCGTATAGGGGAAGGATGTACTATTCTCAGGGGCGATTTCGAGTCCTTTGTCCTTCGTTCCTCTTACAACTGACGTTGTAAAAGTGGCCCGGCCCACATTCAGCGTTGGAACACGTTGAGAAGTTGCTGGGAGAAAAATATCGTGCCAGAGGCATCGCTGACGAGTTATTACATATTAGGCAATAGAACCTTATTTCTTTAAGAAATATTTGTAGTGGCGCCACGTCGTCACCTTGTCTCGACATATTACGTAATATGATTCAAGTTATAATTCAAGAAGATTCATCGACATATATAGCAAGATGAGAATCATTGTGGCGGAAGTAAGTCACGTACGAAACATTTTTAGAAACTTATACGTATAAGTTGATATTTTTAAAAAGGAACAGCTTCTTTGTATCTATTCTCCGATTTTGGTGATGTATAGGATTTTTATCCTATTTTATACGTTGAAATAAAAAATATAACGAGCAATTTAAAATAACGTGAAATTCTTAATAATTAATGTAGCATATTTTATTTTTATTTTATTTTTTTTTTTTTTTGTTAATCGAAGTTACTCAAATATGATATTCAACTCTGTACATGATAAATCTGTTTAATATATTAATTTAATACAAATAATGTAGTATCGTTCGAGCATAATGAAGTTCATCCAAATATTTATTTCATTTATACATTTTGCTCAATATCGAACGATCAATGTTCAGCAATCAATTAAAATTTATTTAATTCTATAAACGAAATATTGCCAATATTAAAAAGTTTGTTTATCACTTTTGTTTTAAACAAAAATATGCTTAACAAAAACGAGATGATTGTTTCATTAAACATTTCATTCATTAAATTATTTTATTTCATTAATTTACTTATTTATTCAATAAATGTTATAAATTATAAATTCATAATATGACTGAAATTATTACTAAACTTAAGAGTTTAGAGTTAGTTTATACATAATATTTTCATTTATTACCATTTTTTCATTTATTGTTCATATATACATATGGATATCTTGATCCTTTCAAGTTTACCATAGAAATTATGTATTAATTTACATTAATTTACACGATATAGTATTAGTTTATATCGATAGATAATTTGTTAATTCTGCTAATTCTGCCCTTATACGAGAATTTTCTCTTCATCCCACGATTCTCACAGTGATAAAATGAAATCATGAGGATTCATGGCATTGATTAGACGATGAACATGCCGATAAACCCCGAAAACACACAGAACCACGGTTCAAATTCACCTAATTATGGTAATGAACTAAATGGATATGTCGACAACCCTGCTCTCATGAAATGATTATGTAGATTCGATAGAACTATTAATCATAATTGTCGTGTAAATATTTTTACATATTTCATTATTTTATAAAACAGAAGAACTTTTTAACGAAAGAAGAATTTGAAACAGTATAGAAAATAAAATATAAATGAAAGCAAATTTCAAAAGTGCTTCTTAAACATTTTTAACGATATTAAAAATTGAAAAATTATAGTTGATATCAAAATCTTATTTTTCAAAAGACAATAATTAAAAATACATACCATAAATAATATTTATAATATATGCAAATTTTAATAATCATATCTATTATATACTATAAATTATAGTAGCATAAAATTATTATTTATAATCTCTGTATATAATATCTCTCAACCAACTTTAAATAACTTATGGATCCAATTATTTTGAAAATAGATTATTCCACACGATCTCCTCCATTATTTCATCACATCTCCTCCATCTCCAACACCCTCTCAAAAAATCAAAATATCACAGCTTTATTTCCAATGGGGGTCAACTTGTTGAATACAATAAACGTTCCATAAACATTCTAGAAATCCGCCCACCTTCCTGAAACCTTCTCTTCTGAAAGTGATACAGCGAGGAGCGGCATTAACCCGGGCTGGCAATCGTTCAGCCGGTTCAATTCGAAAAACCGGGGCTCCACATCCCAAGATGCTCGAGAGAGATTCGAAGGGTTGCAAGGCAACGTGGCCAATTAAACGAGAAAACAATCGGAGGGAAAGACTTTCCTCCCGATCCCGGCCCACCTTTATCCACGATCCTGGAATGGACTTCCTCCTGGAACGAGGAGGAATCGTGGCTGTTCCATGGCGCGCACAACCCGCCCATA